ATTTGGCTGTGACCCAAGAGATCAGATCAGGAAAACTGAAGACAGAGCTCTCTCACAGTCTGGAGTAATCAGGCATCGGGCATCCCTACATCTTACCTCTTCCCCAGAGGGTGACCTATGAGCCACCCTGAAAAGAATTAAGTTCTCTGGGCTCTGTGGGAATTTTTAAGATGCTGGAGATGGGTGTCAAGGGAAAGGAAAGTTCTTCTAAACTCTAAAGCATTGTTATGCAGTAGGATTTCCCGTAATGATGAAAATGTTCTAAATTTGTGCCATCCAATATAGTAGCTACTAGCCACCCATGACTATTGAGCACTTGAAATGTAGATGAGACTAAGAAACAGAAATTTTAATTTTAATTAATTTACGTTCTAATAGCCATATTTAGCTAGTGTCTACTGTATTGGAAAATGCAACTCTAGGGCCTTGGGGATAATGGGTTTAACTCTGCTGCTATAGAGGAGAAGCAGGAGAAGTATAGTCCCAGTTCTCATCAGGCCCTGTGGTTGGCCAGTGTCAGGAATGGGGCTGGGGTGGATGTCCTCAAACAACCACAGAACATTTCTCTCGCTCCTTTATTCCTGATGTACCTTTGTCCCCTCTTTTTCTGAGGGCCTCATCACACACTGATATCCCCACTCAGTGGTCTCCCCTGAGTTGTTGGGTGCTTCTTGGCGAAGGTGCCTGGGAGATAGAGCTTCACACTTGTCCCTGCTCACTCCAGACTGTCTTTGGCGGGCATCAAGGACCACATGCCCTATCCGGATGCCTGGCCCAGGACAGGGGGTCTTCCAGTTGATTTTGGGAGGCATAGACATTTGGCGATAGTTCTGGCAGACTGGAGGAACTGTATCCACAGGGCAGTGCACCCAGTCTTGGCTGCCCGCTCGCCGAGACGATGGTTGTAGCTCAATTAGTACAGGTACCTCTGAGAAGGTTTGTGGGTCATTGTAGATCACCTGGGCCTTGGAAGGGCAGGAGTTCTGACTGAGTGGGACCGAAGTCCTTGGTACATGCTGCTCAGCATCCTCCTCCTGAGTAGCCTCCTCAGATACAAATGACTTCATCAGAGGCAGTGTTAACTTTGGGGTCTGAGATGGGCTTAAGACTTGGAGAGAGTCAGTACCTAAAGCAAAGCCTGGGTTCTTGTGGAGGTCAGGATTTGGAATGAGGCATGAGTCCTTGTGGAGGCCTGATTCTTTGGTAAGGCCTTGAGTCTTGGAGAGGTCAGAGTTTTGGATAAGGGCTGGGCCCTTACAGGGACCAGGATCTTGATTAATTCCTGGGTACTTGTGGAAGTTAGGGTCTTGGGTATGTTCTGGGCTCCTGTAAATTCTAACATCTTGGGTAAGGCCACATGTTTTTTTTACTTCATTGGCTTGGGTAGGGCCTGGATTCTTATGGAGGTCAGAATCTTGAGTCAGGCCTCGATTCCTGTAGTCTCCTGAGTCTTGGGTAATGCCTGAACACTTATAGAGGCCAGAGGTTTGGACAAGGCCTGGGCTCTTGTGGAGACCAGATTCCTGGGAAAGGCCCGAGCTCTTGACACCAGAGCCTTGGGCAAGGCGTAGACTCTTCTGCAGGTCGGAATCTTGGGTAAGACCTAGACTCCTAGAAACTCCCAGATCTTGGGCATTACCTGTACCCTTGTAACCCCCAGAATCTTGAGAAGGGCCTGGGCTGTTATGGAGGCCAGTTGTTTGGAAAAGCCCTTGACTTTTGTAGAGTACAGTCTCTTGGTTTCCTTTTGGATTCCTATAGATTTCAGAGTCTTGTGTATAGCCTGAGCTCCTCTGAATATCAGAAGTTTGAGAAAATGGTGTGTTCTTATGGAGGGCAGAGGGTTGGATGAAACATGGGCTCCTAAGGATACCTGCATCTTGAGGAGAACCTAGGCTCTTTTGGGAGCCAGAATCTTGGGTAATGACTGGATTCTTGTGAAGACCAGAGTCTTGGGAAGGCCTTGGACCCTTGCAGAGATAAGGGTGTTGGGTAAGGCCTGGAAGCTTATGTAGGCCTGGATCTTGAACAAGACCTGGGTTCTTATGGAGGACTGGATCTTGGGTAAGGCCTGGGTTCTTGGAAATTCTAGAGTCTTTTGAAGGGCCTGGGGTCCTTTGGAGGCCAGAGTCTTGGGTGAGGCCTAGACTCTCATGAAGTTCAGGGGTTTGGGGTTTGATTGGGAGTTGGGAAATGGTGGAGAACTGGGGAGGGATGGATGATACTGACTGAGGAGACTTAGAGGTTGGGGTTTGTATTGAGGTGGAGGGCTTCTGGTAGTTGGTGGGTTGATGATGAACAAAAGATCTGGGAGAAGCAAGAGGCAGAGAAAGAGTGCATGGTGGAGGAGTGGTGTGCAGTGAGCTCTGGGCAGCAGTTGGAGAATGAAAACAAGGTTGAGAAGGTGAAGCATCCTTGGAGTAGACTAGGAATTTGGGGTAGACTGGAGCCTGGGCATCTGTGTTTCTCTTCTCAGAACTGCATGAATGGAAGCTGCAGTAAGGAAAGGTCTTGTGCTGTAAGAACTTGTCTTTGGCATCATTTGAGATCTTCCATTCCATATTCCCCAACTCCAGGTAGCCCAGTATAGATCCTGTGGAGGGCTTCACAGTGTCCCCATTAAGTTGCTTCGATGTTTGCTCAGCTGTACCAGAGCTCACCAGGCCCTGTCCTTCTTGGGACCTGGAGAGGGTACCCAAGTCCTTTCTGGAATACCCAGCATTCTGGGTGGGGTACACGTGGAATAAATTCTGCTTTACCCTGCGGGCATCATAGACCACATGGCCAGTGGAGAGACCTTGACTGAAGGCAGTTGGGTTAGAGGGAATAGGAGTTAAGATGTGGGTAGGGGTAGGGATAGGAGCAGGAACTGGTGTGGTAGTCAGGGCCCTGACCAGTGCTGGTGCTGGAGCAGAGATTGGGACAGGGGCCGGTGTAGAGGCTGGGGCAGGAGTAGTAGTAGCAGGAGCAGAAATTAGAGGAGGGGTTGGGGCAGAGATTGGGGGAGGCACCAAAGTGTGGGCATGGGTATAGGTTAGATGAGCACAGGCCAGGTTGCTGGCTTGGGTGTGGGCTGTTATGTTCTCAAGGGTCTGGCCCTGGGAGTGGTCTAAGGTATGTGAGGGGGCCTGGGCTGGGGCCAGGACCAGGGTATGGGCTGAGGTGTGCTCAGGGCCATGGACCTGGATGGGGGTATGCTCAGGGGTGTGGACTGTAGAGTGGATCTGGGCCTGGGTGGAGGTGTGCTCAGTGGGGCAGGCTGGGGAGTGAGTCCGGGTCTGGTCGGGGTAATAGTCTGGGGTCTTAATCTTATTCCCTTGGGGCAAGTGGAGTGGAACCATATCTAATTTGCCCATCCTGGGGAACTGGGAAGATGTCTCTTGCCTGGGGAGAAAGGTGGCTTGGGCCTTTGAGGCTGTAACCTGAAGGGTCTCTCCAGTTCCCATCATCCCCTCCTTCCACAGTCCCCATGAAGTCTCCACAGGAGCCTCAGCATGTCCACACTGAAGTGGCATCCAGCAGCACCTAGAAGCCCTCTCATCATTCGTGTCTGGTATCGAAGAGTCAAGGTGGTTAGGGTGCCTGAGCAAGAAGCTTGGGCGATGATGGAAGTGCGAAGAGACTCTTGAGCACAGGTTCTTGGGATCCACAGAGCAGCGCATACACATGGGATGGCTGCCTATACAGCTGGGTTGCTTGTCTGCAAGGGAAGAGGGGATGGGACAAGGTCTGGGTTACTGAGGGGGCAGGTAGAAGAAAGGGGACAGGCCTATATCACCTTGAGCTCATGCTGTGGCCCACTCACCTTTGGGGAAAAAATGATGGAAAAGAATCCGCAAAGAACTCTTCAGATTTCTCCAGAGCTAAGGGAAGCAGGGGAGGGGAGAGTCCAGAAGTAGGGTGAGCCCTGAAGTCCAACCTTTGACTGGCCAAATCCCAGCAGTCCTCTCACCTCATCCCCTCCCACCTCAAACCCCAGGGCTCCCCCAACCCTGCTGCCCAGACCCCGCCCTGACCAGAGTCACCACATTGATCCCCACGTTGAGCAAGATGAAGGCGCCTAGAATCAGAAGAATTGAGTCTCCTAGGTCCTGGCACTTCCTGGGGTTGGTGCCAGAGCACACTGGGGCTCCATGGTGGACTCGTTCACCCATGACTGGGGGTCCCAGGACTACCTGGGCCCCCTGACTCCCACATACTCACTGGGAGCCAAACTCTTCTAGTGGGGGAGGGGGAGAGGGGGAATGGGTCATAATGGAACAGCGGGTAGTGGTCACAATGAGGGAGGAGGAGGAAAAGAAGGCCCAAGTTTGCATTCCCTGATAACTGGATTCGAGTAACCTGAGCCTGGTTAGTCAAACAGGGTCCAGAAGCCTGCACACCTACCCTCTTGCCCTCATTGCCTGCTGACTCACTCATTCAAATACTCATATATCCCAGCTTCTTGACCATTTCTGAGACTGGGAAGACCATGGCCTCGGAGCCCTGAGGAAGGCCTAGAATCCAGAGAGTTGGCCTTGTTCATGCCCTTTGCTGGGTTGTGAGCCTGAATCTGCCCAGATGTGGAACCTCCAGGTCTGGAATCTAACCTCAACTTCTTGTGCGGGGCTAGGCCTTATGAAGTCCCTTTGGAGACAGGGAGAGCCTCACACAGAGCGGGTGCCCAGAGACCAGTGGTTTGGAGTCTGCAGCTGCAAGATCTACTTAGTGCCTGGAGAAGGACCAGGAGGGGCCTGCAGGCAGGACCATAGCTGCTAAACCAAGGGAAGCAACACGCCAAGGGGACACTGGCTTCTCATTTCATAAAGACAAGGGCAGGGATTCAGGCTGGCAGAAGGAGTGGCACTTTCCACCCACAGACCACCACAGTGTTTCTTGGACTCCGTTGCTCTTTATTCCTCTCTCCATGCCCTGCCCCATCACCCACATTTGCCGCTGCTCAGTTAAGTTTCCCAGTCCGGCTCCTGTGCAGCGAGGGCCTCGAGGTTGAGCTAGAAGGTGGTGGCAGTGAGTTGGCCCGTGCTCTGTTCTCCTGCACCTGCCGCTTCAGTTCCAGACTGTCGTATACCTGGTAGTTGGCATTGCCCCCCGGGCTCCGGCTGAGCGGCATGAAGGAGGGTAAGGGTGTGGGGGGTTCAGTACCCTGGACTTCAGGCAGGGGCTGGGAGGAGTGGGGGAGTAAGGCTGAGCTGGGAGCCAAGGCCCGTTGATATGAGGCCTCACCCAACATGGTGAGGGAGGTAGATGTGGTCAGAGGGTGCCGAATGGGCAGCGCCTCAGCCCATTCGGTTGTGTGGCGCCGTACCTCATGGGCATCTCGGGAAGTGTAGCTCAAGTGTCCTGTGGATGGGTGGGGGCTGCGGTTGGGCTGGCTGTAAGCATGGCTGGGGAGGCTCCGACAGTGGGACTGTGGGGAGTAATGTTCCCGGGCTTCGGGCCGGGAACCCCGGGGCACCAGGGCAGATGGACGCTCAGAGCCTTCCAGACCACGCCGCTGCTGATCGCATGAGTCATATAGTAGCTGGCCCCCTGAGGGATAAGAGCTGTGTCCCCCAGGGACCCAGGAGGAGTTAGGGGGCAGCCGGCGGGGTGGTGGTAGAGACGAAGTCCACTGCTCAGCCTCCATATTGCCCCAGGTATGGGATTGTGAGCAATGGGGCCCATAGGACTGTAGCCTCAGTTCTGACTTGGCTTCCACACGCTTGGGCATGCAGCGCAGCTCGGGTGAAAGATAGAGAGAGGGTGGTGGCAGGCTGGCCAGGATCCCACCCTGTCGTCCCCATAGCCTCATGTTGGAGGGTAGCCCCATTCGCTGGTAGAGCCCTCCCCAGCACACCCGTGGACACTTGGGATGTGGGAAAGACAGGTCATCCTCTTCCTTCAGGAAGGAGTGCAGGTCCTCCTGATCGTAAGAAGGCATCAGCCGCAGCTGTGACATCTTGTGGCTGTGATGTTGGTTATGGAAGAGTAAGCGGTTTTTGGGGAATTGTCTGTGGTTCTTCTGACTCTTCTGGTGTCTGCAGGGGCGGCGGCGGTGGGAATTACGGCGTTGGTAGGGGCAGCTGCGGTTGTGGAGATGGTGGTAAGAGGAAGAGGAGTAACAAGTGGGCTGGGCCATCTTCACTTCTACGGGGTCCAGGGTGCAGTGAATGTGGACGCCTTGGGCCTTGGCTGGGGCATCTTTGGAGGAACTTTCACGAACCTGCAAGATTTCATCTGGGGGAGGCAAGAGTCCATGAGGGCAAAGCAATTGTCAAGAGTTCAGGTTTGGGAATGCCGGGGCCTGGGTTTCTAGGGCTATGGAGGTAGCAGGGTGAGGGTGGGAGCGTCCCCTACCTCTCTGCCATACTTACTTTTCTGATTAATCCAATCAGTCATCTTGTCTAAGGCATTCCGGAGCCCATGCCACATCTGGGGGTGGAGTAAGGTGGGGTGGGAATGAAGGCCAGGCTCTCCACCCTCAACTCCCATGCCCCTCCCAGCCAAGACTGCTCTTGCAGGTGAAAGTGCAGGCTGCAACTGGCTCCCACCCTAAGCCCTCTTCACCCTTGAGGGTGGTCCACTGCCATCACTGACCACAGTTGCCACATTGATCCCAATGTTGGCAAGAATGATGAGGCCCAGTAGCAGGAATAGAAAGTCCTCAGCATCCTGGGGACTTCCTTGGTATTGATTGCAGCACCCCAGGGTGTTATACCAGAGCTGGTTTTCCATGGTGGGGGGGTTCTAGGGCCACCTGGGCCGCCCCCCCCCACCACCAGCCCCAACCCACGCTGCACTCATGCCAGGACCTGGGGACACCTGCCAGCTGATGAAGGAGCAGGGTCATAATGAGGCATGTTGGCAGGAGTCACAATGCAGAGGTGGCAGCTCTTTTATCCATTCAGCTGGCCCTTTATACGGCCATCTCTGCCCTTGGCCCAGTCCCCAGATATCCCAGAGTTCAGCCTGTCCCTTTGTCTCCGTGGGAGCTTGCTTAACTGGACACCTGATTCCTGATTTGTAAATATGGTGGCTACAGTAGTGAGAGAGTCTTTATAGGGACTGAATCATGAATAAAGGGTTTCCTCTATTTCATTGTTCTTTTGAGACATTATGGTAGCTTATGTAGCCTGTTGGTACTCCCCATCTACACCTACTTGGGGCTAGCATCTAAGGTGACTAGATGGATGAGTAACAGCAAGAGTCCCCTCTGAGGCGCCTCGCTGTACCATTACCTCCCTGTCCTATCCATTTCCTTGTCATAACGCTTCTAGCAGCCACCCTATCCACCCCTTCCTGGGCAGGGATTTCAAGGCTAGGTGTTGGTGGTCACTGAGCCCATTAGCCTTTTTGCTTGCTGCCTCTGCCAGGGACCACTCCTAACCATGGTTTCTCTCCTTAACCAATTACCCTCCCACTGAGCCACACCTCCAAGTTGAAAAACTGTTAGCTGCCACCTTAAGAAAACCACATAAAATTCAAAAAGCACAAAATAGATGTAATTGTTGATATGACAATAGGAACCTTTGATTTAAATCAGGTTCATCACTGGGATCTTGTGAAAGGGGTACCTTGGGGACCAGGAGTCATTTGTTTGCACAATGAACAACACAGCAGAATAGAGGAACAGCCAGAGGGCATTTCCCATCAAGACTCCAAATACATAGTAGGTGTTCAATACATACCCACTGAATGGAATCAGCTTCAAAAGAACAATGATGTTAGCTAAACGAAAATGAATAGAGAAACAAGGCAATTCACAAAAGGCCTATCTGCTCACATTCCAGGAACCCATCTGGTATGAAGGTGAGGTCCAGCTCCTTCAGCCTAGGCGCACTCACATGGCCTTTTGTTTCCTAGTTATGTGTGTGATTGCTTGTGTATGATTGTCTAGGAGTAGGGTAGGGCCTGGCTTTTCCTGCTCTCCAGTGGATGGAATATTCTGATGAGTTTACATGGCAAATTGAGGAAGGTGGGAGACTGATGGGCCAGGCTGACTCAGTAGCAATGGGAATCTACCTGTGGAAGCAAAGGGATGGAACATCTAAAGCTGTGAAATTGATCCTTGGTGTCCACGTGTCCATGAATAAGTCACTTGGCCTCTCTGAGCCTGTGTCTCCTCATTTGTGACATGGAGGTATGAATCACAGGAGTGAGGTCACAGAAGGCTGTGATGTTATGATGAGACAGCCCTTGAGAATGTCCCCAATATTTCATCCTCTGCACTAAGCCTGCTTCAGTGTACAGGAACTTCACATTCTGACTGGGAAACTGTTAAGACCTAGCTATCTTCACTCTCAATCATTCCCCCCACTTCAAAGAAACCAGGGCTTTAGAGGGAGCCACACCTCACCTGTAGCTGCAGCCTAAACCTGGGCTCTGGCAGGAACCAGATCTCTGAGGGGTTATGGCCCTGGGGATGAGGGTATCCCCACTAGTGCAAGACTGCCTAGTGATCTGGGGCGGGATTGGGGGGGGCCTTCTCTGGGCACTAAGGAAAACAGGGTAGAGGCTGATGGGAACCTTGGAACCAAGAAGGGCCTGGGAATGTGCTGAGGACAGGGTTGATGGTGAGGTTGAAGCTAAGAGGTTGATGAGGGTCCTCAGGGCTGTCTAGGCCCTGTTGCCAGGGAGATCATTCCCTGGACAACCAGGGCTTCTGGGTGCTGTGTGGCACCCCACCCCTACCCCCCGTCCCACCCCACCGCAACACACACACACCACCACAAGCCACCTCCTCTCTTTTTTTTAATTCTCCCAGTCACCTCTCTGTCAGGGGACGGTATACCCAGTCCTTGCCTGTCCCTTCAACAGTGCTGGTTCCAGAGGCCAGGGGGTAACAGTGGGACAGGGCCTCCACCTCCTGGGTCAGCTCCCGGAGCCGCCGCCTCACATCACGGGCGTCATACATTATACGGCCTGAGGAGCGGCGCCGGTGGATATATGGGACAACTGCTGGGCCCTGGATGGGCAGAGGGGCTGGCGGAGCTGGTGAGCACTGCTGCTGCTCTCCTTCAGCCCCCACCCTCCCTACACTGTTCCTGTGGCTCAGGACCTGTGGGGTGGGGGGTGGAGGGTTCACAGGGTACACATAAGCCTCTAGGCCCAGCTCTGACAGCATCTCTCTTCTGAGGGGCCTTTCCTCTACAGTCTGCTGGAAGCGGATTGTTTGGGGAGGTGGCTCCACAGCATCCTGGGCCCAGGGAGCCCAGAACCCCTGGTTGGATTGAAAGTCTTCCCAGTCTGCAGGGCGATCCCAGTTGTGGGAGCAGGTTGCTGGGTGCTGATGTGGGAGCCTCTTGTCATCAGTGTCAGGAGCCCACGCTACTGGGCAGTGGACACGGCATGCTGATGAGCGTCGATGGCGATGACGATGACGGCGAGTGGGTGGGGGGGTCACGGTCATTTTCACAGGGTCCATGGTGCATCGAAGGTGGACTGCAGGGGAGCTCTGCTTCAGGGTCTGGGTCTTCTTCCCAGGTGAGGATGACTTAGCTTCTGTGAATCAAGGAGAGGTGAGAAGCTCGGGGGGTAGGGGTGAGGGGTGTTGCAGAGATCGGCTCCTACAGGGGTTGGAGTCAGGGTGCAGGGAGAGAAGCTGGAGAGCTATGGCATCTAAGAAGGGAGAGCCAAAGGGGACAGGGCCAGCTTAAGGTTAGAGCTAGAACGCTGGTATCTGCTTCTCCTATGTCCCAACACCCAAGTGCCACTTACCTTTCTCACAAACAATATGGCAGAACATGTGGTGTAAAAAGCCACGGAGTTTGTGCCAGAGCTGGGGGGAAGAACACAGTGACCCTAGGCAGGTCCTCGATACCAGGCCTGCCCCCCCAGCGATCCTGCCAGCACCCTCCCACCCAGGCGTGCCCTGACCAGTGTCACCATATTGATGCCAATATTAATGCAGATGATGAGGCCCAGCAGCAACAGGATGGAGTTGCCCAGGTCCTGGCAGTTGTTGGTGTTGGGGCTCTGATACGAGGCCCACCCAGACCGTGGCCATTCAGCCATGGCCATGGGGGTCCCTAGGGCCACTGGGGCCCCTAGGCCCCCAGCCCACTGTGCCACAGAACCAACCAGCCCGTCTACCTGTCCCAAAGGCTCCTAGGGGTAAGCGGGTCACAATGATGCTGGGGCTCTCCCTCACAATGTGGCAAGAGGGAGAGTCCTGGGCCCTCGGCTGATCCTCTAGCCTGGGCTGAGACCTTGGCAGAAGCCAAGCCCTTCACCTTGTATGCTTCTCCTGCAGTCAGCTACCTGGACAAGCCCGTAGGCCCTTAGGTCTGTCTGGTGTCTGCACCCATCAGCCCGTTTGATCCTTCTCTACACCAGGCTTTATACTCCACACAGACATGGGTCCTGATCTTAACTCCCTAAACAGCTCCATTACCATGGCAATCTTACCCAGCACCCATTCTCCCTTTCTCTGACACCTCTGGTGCTATTCACTGAAAAGGGCTTTGGGTGTAGACCCCCACCTCCTTCACCAACAGTCACTTCCCCAAGGCTTGTTTCTTCAGAGCCCCCTACTTCCACCTCCTAACATCACAACAGGCATAATCAACAGTTAAACTTTTATATTTACAATATTCTCTTCATCTTTTGCCAGGTTTAAAAATGTGTACAGAGCCGCGAAGGATGGGGACATGGGATTATCAAGGAATTGTTCTGGGGAGAAGGGCTGGGCATTGGAGTCCGTGGCTGAATCATGTGGCCCCCCAGCCCCTCTCCCATGCCCCAATTTGGGGGGGGGCATCTGTCTACAGGGTTCAGGGCCCGGGTCCCTAGCATTTAGAGGGCATAGCTGTTTGGAAAGGAACTAGACCAGGCAGGGAAAGGGGTGGGAAAAGAATGAAGTTTCCATGGGTGGAGGTGGGAGAAGGTACAGTCAAAAGGCAAAGTTCTGGGGAGCCAAGACCAGGGATTCTGGATCTGGGAGTCAATGGAAGAGAGCACCCCACCTCCTACTCAAGTTTGGCACTAACAACCCACAAAATGCCAGCAGATAAGGATTCTCTCCTTCCACTGGTGTCCCTAAAAACCTTTCCTGACATGGTTCTTTTACCCATAGACTCAAATCCTTTCTCTTCGGGTCCCTCTGGGCAGTCACCTTACAAATCCTTTCAAATTTTTCCTGCTGTTTACCCAAGCCCTGTCCCCCACTGCCCCCTCCATCTGTTCCTCAGCATAGCTGACCTCATTCTCTCCCCAACCTGTCCCATGAAGCCTTTCTCCCCTGCTCTCTTCCCTTCCACCACTCCTTTCCTTAAGCTTTGGCAGCTGAGGGAAGAGGGAGCAGGTCAAAGAAAAGGAGTGGGCAGCTGAGGGGAGAAGCTGGTCTGACAGTGAGACATGGGACAGCTTCAGAGGGAGATAGAAATGGGGGAAAGGGAAATTGAGGCAAAGGGAGAAATGAGACATGGTAAAGACAGGAGAGAGACATAGGTGGAACCCTTTTAGCTGTCACCTCCATCTCCCCTGTAGCCCACCTGCCTCCACGTTTACCTGTCCTGGCCCAGGACTGGCACATTTTGAGGGTCTTCACCCCGGAAACCCACCTACCCAGTTTGGCACGGATGAGCAATGGTCTGAAGACTGAGGGAAAGGCTGTCTTCAGACCCCAATGAGGGCTTTGGTCAAACATGCATGGCCTCTATGGGTGGCAGGTCCCACACTCCTGACCCCCCCAACTCAGCATCTCTGGGAGAGAGAGTAGAGCTCTCCCCTCAGGGTTTATACATCCCCCTCAGCTTCTGTCAGTTTGAAGTCTCTTCCCACCTGCTGTGTGGGGAGAACTTAGGTGCTCAGCCTGAGGCCTGGGGGATGCAGGAAGTGCTGGAGAGAAAGGGGCAATCTGCATGGGAAAACACACATCCACATGCAAGAACATGTTTTTACTCAGAGAAATGTACCCTGGACCCATGGGAAAACAAGTTCCCAGGCAGCACAGGGTTGCACGGATCTCCCCTGTCCCCTAGGCAGGGATTCTGTGTCTGTCATCTGTGGAAGGCAAGGCCTACCCAGGAGAACGTGCTTCACCTGACTTGTGCCAGGGGGGCTAAACATGCTTTGCCGGGGCAAACGGGGGAGTGAGGCGGGGGCGGGGGGGGGCTGTGATTTCCTCCATACTTGCCAGTTACCACCCTGGGTTATCTGGTGGCCAAGGGTCACGGTATGTGAACACACCATTTCCAGGGTCTCCATGGGGGCGGGGGGGAGGGAGGAGATGGGAGAGGGCATGAGGGAACATGATTCTGGGATATAAATCCCCGCAGAAATTCTTTGAGGGGGCCAACATGTGTCCAGGGCGGCAAAAAAAACCTCACCCTGCACATGGGAAAACACACCCCCTTGTGAGAAAGCACACCTCTGCGTGGGAAAATCCTTCCACGCTTCCACACACCGAAGACTGGTGTCCCAATGGAGGGGACAAAACGCCCCCCAGTTGTTCAAAGGCCCAGGTCCAGAGAAGAGAATGGGCCTCTCTGCACGGGAAAAACACGCATCCCAATGAGGAAACCCAGTTCCACCTAATGCTTCTCCACATGTGACAACTCCACACGAGAACAGCCTGTTGTCAAGTCGTCCTCCCTGCCTTCTGAGTGGCACTTCCTGTGGGCGGGAGGGCTGGGGAGGAGGGCCCCCCCAAAGCCGCTCCCTATACCCGGGTAGTGGAGTGGGGGTGGGGTAGCGTGTTGTTGTGGCTGGTAGCAGTGGGGGGAGGAGCGGGGAAGGGCCCAAAGGGATGGAGGGAAGGGGGTGGTGGGGGAGGTGGTGGCCCCAGGCCACTGGGCAGCAGGGTCAGAGCCCCGGGGGCCAAGAGAGGCACATCGTCCGGTGCCCGGCGCAAGGCCAGGGTGTAGTCGGGTGGGCAGGCGGGGCGCAAGGCCTCAGCAGGGTCCGCCCCGACACCACCGCCTCGCTTCAGCTGCAGTGATACCAGCTCTTCTTCTGGTGGCAGCTCTCGGCTGGTGGCGGGGAGCAGGGGGCCCCCACCAGGCACACCGGAGCCTGAGCCTCCTGGGGGGCTGAGCCTCCTGCATCGCAGCTCCTGCCGCCGGTCCCGCTTGTAGTAGAGAGCAGCAAAGGCAAGGATGTTGAGGAAGAGGAGGGAGGCGCCCACAGCCACGGTGACGCTCAGCTCCGTGGAATAGTCCCGGGAGTCCCCGGGGAAGCGGTCATAGGCCCTGGGGCCTGGCTCCGGTTCAGGTTCCGGTGGCAGGGTGGCAGGTGGCGGGGGCCGGCGTGTGCCCGGGGCGCCGGCGGGTGGGCGAGGTGGCCAGCGCGTGGCATAGGGAGGCAGGCGTGTGGTGGTAGTGAAGACCTCTGTGTGCAGGTTGTGCAGGTGGGGCACAAGCTCCAGCCAGAAAGCCACCTTGTTGGCGCGGTAGTTGTCACGCACGCGTGGCTTCAAGCCAATGTGCAGGTACTGCTTCTCTTTGCTGTTGAACTTGCTCCACACCACCTCCTCGAAGCGGTTGGGCTTGGTGTGGATGAACTTGGTGTCCTGTGGCACGGGCTGGTTGGGGTCGCTGTGGGCACAGGAGGGCAGGGAAAGGAGGAGTGAGGGTGAGGCTCTGACAGGTGTGGAATGGTGGGTGAGGAATGGGGAGGGAGACAGACCCAGATGCAGAGAGCCAGAAGGAAAGTCAAAGAAAAAGAGGCAGAGACAGAAATGTATACAAAGAGACAGAGAAACTGCCAGAGACAGGGACAGAGATACAAAGAGGGATGGAGACAGACTGCCAGAGCCAGCCAGAGATGAGGACAGAAGGACAGAGATAGGCAGAGACAGACAGAGAGATAGCCAGGAGAGGCAGAGGCTGAGACGGAGTGAAATAGAAACATAGAAATAGGGAGACAAAGACACACGATGAAATTAGCAAGCAAAAAGCAAACAGGTCAAAGAGAACAAAGGGAAATGGAGAGATATGAATGGATTTCAAGAGAGAGATGTAGAGACAGCAATAAAGAGACAGACAGACAGACACAAACCCTTACACATACTCAGACACAGATGGGAGCAGTCAGACAGAGGGCAGAGCACTGAGAGAAGAGAGGGTGGGTAGGCAAGGGAGGGAAGGAGAGACAAACATGGAGCCAAAGCCACCAAATGAGCCCACCCCCAGAAAGGACAGGGACCTTTCTGTCTAACTGCTGAATCTCTAACATGCAACTCAGTGCCTGGCACAGAGAAGATATCCAGCAGGTGTCTGTGTCAAGAAGGCAAGAGTGCCTTAATGGAGGGATGATAGCCTTGTGAGAAAGAGAAGGAGCTGAGGATGGAAGGTGTGTGTGCCTTGACCTGCAGGGTGCCCCACCCAGCCCCTCTGGCCCTCACCCAGTCTTGGCGAAGTTGGTCCAGTAGGTCATGACCACGGCGCTGAGCATGACATCATTCTTAGAGAAGTTGCAGGGGAAAAGGTCAGTGGCACCCACCATGGGCACACCAAAGACGTAGGGGAGCTCATCCCCATGTGCTGCATCTGCCCACTCGGGCCGGCCCTCAGCCTGGCAGTGGTGGTAGAAAGTGTAAAAGTAGACAGGGGACTGGTAATCGGCATGCAGCTTGGCGGTGGCCACAGCTGGTGCCACCCATTGGTGGTCAGTAAAGAGCGCCAACAGGGTCTTGCGCCGCATCTCGCCATTGTCCCGGTCGGCCCAGTCTGTGTACATAAACTTGATGGTCTCCCTCAACACATCCTTGCCCTCTGGGTAGCCATACAAGTTGTCCACAAAGTTGGAGACTGTGAAGTCGAATGCGCTGGCAGACACGCCATCCTCGCTCTCTGCTGAGTCCTCCACAAACTTGAGGCCCTCTCCTTGGTTGACACCAATGAGCATGTCGTAGTTGAGGAATTCTCCCTGCTGCATGAGGATCTCAGGGTCATCGGGGACGACGTCACCGTCCACCACGGGCCCGAAGGCGATGTGGTAGCTGGGGAGAAGGAGTCAGGGTCTCATCAGCTGCTCACTGGCTTCCTCTCAGTTCATCACCTGCTGAGCCCTCTGCCCGAAAGACCCTTCTTCCTAGTTAAAATCTTATCTATGCATCCTTCAGGGCACTTGACCTGTTGGGAAGTCTTCCCTGAAGCACTTCCTGGCACCTTGTTCATACTTGCTCTGTTTGGACACCTCCACTTAGGGAAGGTTTCCGAGAGAAGGCAGGGACACTAGAGAGGCATGAAGCCCAACTCTCCTTGCCAAATAAAATGCCTGTGGGCACCTCTAACCCTCAACCTCCTTGGGATTAGCAAAGAGAATGAAGACCTGGACCCAGTTCTCTCCCACCCCCATGACCATACCGGGCAGGCTGCACATCCTGGTCCACCAGCTCCCGGGAAGGCTTCCGGCGCAGACACTCCACAGCTTCAGCACTGTCCTCTCGGTCACAGCCCACCTTAGCTGCCAGCAGTCGCGTGTACTTGAGCGGCTGGTAGTTGACAGACCAGCTGGAAATGGCAGTGCCACTCTGGGCAATGGCCTTCTGGAATAGCCCTGGTGGGACAGGTAGGTTTAAGGCTGGGAAGTATCAGCCCAAGAGAGAAGGGGAACCTGGAAGGTTCAGGAGCAGGGAAAGGGGATGGGATGGGCAGGCTGAAGAGGTTACTGGTACCTTCTGAATGGTGGGAGAGGATCAGAAGGTTGACACAGGAGGCCCCTGCCCCAGACCCAAAGATGGTGATGCGCTCGGGGTCGCCCCCAAAGTGGGCAATGTTTTCACTGAGCCAGCGCAGAGCCTGGATCTGGTCCAGGAGTCCATAGTTGCCTTTTGCAGCCTGATCTCCAGTGCTGAGAAAACCTGGAGGTAGAGGAAGAAAGGGGGCTACCTGTGGGTGTTACAGTGCCCTTGTCTCCTATCTGAGCAGCTCAGTTCAACCCAGAAGCCATTCTGCTGCTGCTGGGCTTAAAGGAACCCCTCCCACCAGGCCCACCTCCCAGACTCCGGCCCCTAGAATTGGCTGTCCCCCCTCACCGAGCACCCCAAGCCGGTAGTTGAGTGTGGCTACAATGACGTTGCCGTAGGCAGCCAGGACAGAGCCATCGAACATGTTTCCAGTGCCCTCCATGTAGGAGCCGCCATGCAGAAACAGCATCACAGGCTTCTTCCCAGAGTCCCGGATATCTGCGTGGGGAAGGGATGGGTGGGTGGGCCAGGGGTTGGGGAACAAGGACACAGTGAGACCAGAAGCAGCACCACCCAGCTCCAAGGCCTGCTGAAGACCAGCCCAGAGCTCAGGGGACATGTCACTCCCGTCCCTGGGGGGCAAGACCGGATTCCCCTCCCTCCCTCCCAAGCTAGCCCTGGCAGGTGCCTCCCTACCTCCTGCCAGTCTGCCTACAGCACTTCTCCAAGTGCCAGGCAGACCTTCCAAGAAGCCTAACAGAGGCAGGGGTTGGGGGTAGCCCTCCTCAGGGCATCTGTTGGATCCAGGGAATCCCATCCCCACACACACATAGCAAATCTCCTTCCTGCTCCTAGGAAGAGCAAGCTCCCAAGGCTGGCACTAGAGCTAAAGACACTAGGAGAGTCCTGGCCTTTCCTCAGACTTAGGCCTTGGGTCTCAGCTCCATGTGGTAGCCTGGTCTGTGGGTGAGGGGGTGACAGGCCCTAGGGTCCCCAGGGGCTCAGTCTCCTCCCCGCCCTAATTCCTTTCTAGGTCACCTCCCCAGTCACCATGGCAACCCCCAGCCTAATTACTGTGGCAGAAGGAGGCAGGGTAGGAAAGATCCTGCTTAATGAAGCCAAGGTGCAGCTCTCAGACCCCTCAAATTGGCCTGAGCCCTGGGTTCTACACCAGACCCCTCTCTTTTCATGTCCCAAAAGGATCCCATAATCACTGCCACATTAGTAGGCACTCCAGACTGGACTAAGGGTGACTAATTCCAGAAAAGGGTGGAGTCTGAGAGGGCTTGCCACAGTCCCCAAGGCTACATAGTAAGTGCCCTGCCCTGCAGCACCTCCATGATTCACCACAGCACCAGGGCTGGGGTCACCCCTGACCCACAGGCCCTTCTCCTTCTTGACACCTGCAATCTCTGCAAAGCCTGAGCACTCAGCAACAAGAACCAGGCCTGGGCCTCCATGGCTGGTCCCTAACACCTCTGCCTACCTCCCTTAACCTGCTAGAAACTTTCTTCCAGCCAGAAGGTCAACCAGTAGGTCACTAAGGCACTCCCCTCCACCCCCCACAGACAGCTTCCTGCCTCTGGACTCTTAGGACCTCCTCGGCCACCTCCCTCCACCTGACTTTGCCCAGGAGCTCCTAGGTGGGCAGTTCCCCCTCTGTGTCCTCCCCAAATCCTGTTCTTCCCTTTGTTCCTGAACTTCCAATGGCCTTCCAGCAGTTCAGGCTGGAGTCTCCTTTCCTCCAAGGTCCTATCCTAAATATCCTCTGTTACCCCCGATCCTCACCCAACACCTCCACTCCCAGTGTGGGGGGAGGGGAGTCAGAAAGGGAAGGAGCAGGAAGTGGGGCTGGGGCAACAAGAATTCAAAACCAACAACCAAAAAACAGGGTCAAGAAAGAAGAAAGAAAGAAAAAAAAAAACAACAACCAAAAAGCAAGAAGCTCTCGGGGCAGATTCAACAAGAAAAGGAAAAAAAAAAAAATCCGTTTTTGGAAAAAAAGAAAAAAAGAAAAAAGTTCTTTGCATTTTTTTTTTTCAAAATTTTGTGGTGAAACTTCAAGATATTGGGCCCTGTTTTCAAAATTTTCCAAATTCTTTAATTTGCTTCAAATATTTTCATTTTCTGCATCTGACAGCCTTTTGGAAATTTGTAGCAAGTTTCTAATGTTTCAATTGTGTCATCAATTTGCCAACTTAATTTTTTTTCAAATGTTGTTTTGCTCCAAATTAAAATTGTTTTTTCACATGTTACATTTCTCAAGTTTCAAAACAGTCCAAATTTCTGTCAAACTCTAAACATTTTATCCAATTCTTTGGTATGTGTGTTTTTTTTTCTGACTTTCCAATTTCTTTTTTCTCTTTATTTTCGCCATGTTTAGCTTTTCTTGCAGGTTTTCTAGTGGGTCCAACATTGTTCAAATTTCATTTGAAGTTTTCATAATTCTTTTTTCCAATTATTACAAATTTTTCTTTTCTTTTCTTTTTCATTTTTAGTTGGGAGAACGACTGAGGGCCTTGAGGGCTGTGGGGGTATTTAGTTAGGGGCAGGGCTGTGAACGTGAATGTCCTCTTATCAGCAACCACATGCAGCAGCGGGATTTTTAAATCTACCTGTGTCTGGCGGATTGAGCGTCGCCTCGTCACGTTTTTTTGTGAGCGGACCTAAGACCGGGAACACAAAACAGAGAAAAAAGGACAATTTTGTGGGGAAAGATGGGGGTCGGGGGAGGTGGTGGATGGGGAGGGGAGGAGAGAAAGCAGAAAAGGGGAGGGTGGGGGCAGAAAAAATAAGCCAAAAAAAGCAAAATTTGTTTGCAAGAAAAAGAAACCAAGAAAAGAGAAAAACGTTTCTACAACCCAATTTTGTTCCCCTCCCCGGAAAAAGTCATGCCCCAAAGAAAAGGCTGGTTTTGGGGGGGTGGGGTGGCTGAGTGGGCTGAGGCCTGTCTTAAAGACATATTGACTTGGCTGGAAAGGATTTGGCTTGTCGATGTGTTGGCTAATTGCTGGAAATGAAACGGTGTTAGAGGGGGGGTGGGAAGGGAGGGGAATCTTGCCAGGGAGCCGGGAGACCAAGGCCAGCTGTGCCACCTGGGGCCACCACTCACGCAGGCCCTCTTCAGGGCCAGCCAAGCACCTCCCTGTTCCTCCAAGCTGTAGAGAGGAGGGGCTGCAGCAGAAAGTACTCTGCTTCCCTCTGGACCAATCGGGAGGGCAGAGGGTAGGTTGGGGTTGGGAGCAACCTGCCCCCAAAGCTCACAGCCCCTGGAAGTCCTCAGCTCTCCACTGAGGGCTGTGGGTAGGTCAGCTAAGGCTGCCTGCCCACCTACCCAGCCTCTCAGCTGCCAGCATTTCTCTTCCATCCACACTCACAGGCCTGGCTTCTCACCTCATCTCCCCAATGTGGGGTGAAGCAGGGAAAGGGGTCATCAGGTCTTGCCCTCCACTCCACCTCTTCCCTCTGCACCCCCCAACCTCATCCCTTACCCAGACCTGCTCTCCTCCCTCCAAACGGTAAATTTCCCACCAGGGGTACCAGCCCCTCACCAACCCCTGCTCTAATGCCAAAAAGCCCCCCTCCCCAATTGGGGGTTCAGTTCACAAATAGGGAACAGTAATCACAGTGCCCTGAGCCAGCCTGACACAAAGTGTGCCCACTGTCAAGGAAAGGGCCCAGACTGGGCCCAGAGTTTGGCTTCAGGTTTCTTTCAGATTGGGGGATTGGTCAGGGAAGATCTGGAACCCAGAGGCCTCATGGGGTTTCCCCAGGCTGACTGGTTTCTCCTCAACATCAGGGGGAAGGATGGGTCAGTAAGGCCCAAGCCAGCCTCTTAAAGGCTTCTCCCAACTGGCAATGGAGATTAGGATCAGGGTTTGTTCTCTGTGACAGGATGGGGATGAAGTCAGCAGGGCATGCATGCTCCTGAGAATATTAAGAGTGTGTATGTGTGTGTGTGTGTGTGTGTGTGTGTGTGTGTGTGTGTGTGTGTGTGTGTGTGTGTGTGTGTGTGCCTGAGTCAACCTCCTCTTCCCAGAGCTGGTGTGAAGATTCAGTGAGATCACCTGAATGTGTCACGCCCCAAGCAGGTCTGCAGTAAGTGATGGTTAAAAATATAGAAAGTGTGGGCATGGGTGGTGTGGGGGCAGGGTGGACAATTTATGTGGAGGTGTTGGCGTAGACAGTCCATTGGTGAGAAGTGCTGGGTGGATGTTTTACATGGGGGTGTGTGTGATGGGATAGCCCACTAAGGGCGACATTGGGACAGCCTATATGAAGATGTGGGGGGGTGTTGAATGTTGAGATGGGCAGTCTGTTATGGAGGCAATGGGGTGAAAAATTCACAGGAGAGAGGCTGCTGGGTGGGGTAAGTGGTCCATGAGGGGACAGGGGAATGTGGAGCAGATAGTGCTCATGCAGAGGGTGTTCGGGTAAATGGTCTATCAGGGTGCTTGGAATGTGGATGGGATTGGAGTGAAGGATACTTCCATGTGTTGTGTGTATGGGTTGCTGGGTTGCTATAAGGCATGGTTTATATGGGGAGGGGTAGTTAGGATGTTAGAGTACATGGCTGGTGTGAGCAATATAAGGTGGATAATCCATTCGGGAGGTGTTGGGAAGACATGGGTGGGTTGAGGTGCATGAGGTGTTCTGTGATTGGCATGAGAGAACTTTGGGTACAAGGACTATGGTGTGAATGGCTTGGTGGAGTACATGGTCCAGGGTGCAGGGTTTTGGGGAAGGCTTATTTATGTATGGGTGTTACTAGGGCACATGATCTATATCCAGGGATATGGGGAGCCACAGTTGTGGGCAATGGGGTACACACTTTTTAGAGAAGTGTTGGGGTATATGCTGTGTGAAGGTGCTGGGAATTGTGATATGTGGGATGTTGGAACACATACATTGTCAGTGTGTAGGTTAGTTGGGTACATGACCTGAATGTTGATAAGTTGAGATTCCTGATCTGTTGAGGGACTTGAGTACATGATGTAGGGGTGTTGGGTGTATAGGATGTACATAGAAGGGTCCCTGGGTACCAGGCCTGTGTGTAAAGTTGTTGGAAAATGGCCTGTGTGGGGATGATAGAAGTGGATCTTCTCTGTGAAGTGTTGGGGTGTTTTGGAGTAGTGACATGGGGGCTGTGAGGATGGTCTATTGGTGTGGCTGGTATTCTGCTGATTACCTCTGTTGTAGACAACTAGAAAGTACTCTGAAAGATACTCTGGTTAATCTTAATATGCTGAAGGTTGGCAGGTGGACAACTGCCCGGGGTGGGGTGGGGGGTGGAGTATGCTGGAGGCTATGAGCAGGGTTGTAGTGAACTGAGAGTTCATTGACAAGACAACTAGTTGGACAGCCCCAGGGAAGGTGTTCTAATGGGAATGGGTGGGCTGTGCTGTGAGTGGAAGGGCCCTTGGCAAGGAGTTTCCATGATCCTTCAGGGTTGTATAGGGGTCAGTGAACATGACATCTTGGAGAAGAGGCACTTAGCTCAGGCAGGGGCTTTGAATGTGACATGATAGATGGAAGTCTGCAGTGCTGGCTTAGGGGAAAGTAGGAGTCTATTCTGTCCATCAGGTACAGATGTTTCTAAAGTCCGCCAGGGACAAGCCCAGGCCTGGGGGTAGGAGGTGGGGCACAGCTGGAGTGGGTATCTAGGCAGGTGATGGATGCCTCTCCATCACCTGATCACCCTCAGTGGTCACTCAGTGTGTGCCTCTGTGGGGACAGGGTGGGTAAGTCCAGCCTAGTGCCTGCTGACCTCACCAATGGCTCTCTGTGGGCACAAAGAACTTCTGGGGTGGCTGTCTGTGGGACTCGTTCCTGGGACTGCCTGGCAAGCACCCGCAGCATTCTCAGAGGCATGCAGAGCGGTCAGGGACATACTGTCCGCTCACTGTCCCCACAAAACCTAGCTCTCAGCCCGGACTGTGACTGTGCCAGTGCCTGAGGGTTTGCATGTGCGTTTGTGGGCTGTGTCCACGGGGAGCCCAGTTTGGTTCCCGTGCCCTTACCGTCCTCAGTGGGCACGTAGAGGTTGAGGTACAGGCAGTCTTCGCTCTGGTTCTGCACGTAAGTGGCAGCTGCCTCCAAATTGTCGGTGAACCACACAGGCAGCATGATGGCGGGCAGTGCCCCGTGCAGATTCTGCGGGCAGGCGGGCGGCAGGGTGGTGGCGTTGCGCACGCCGGGCCACGAGGCAGGGGCCTCGGGTGGCTGGAAGCGGCGGGCGCCCAGGGGTGGCGTGGCGTAGGGCACGCCCAAGAACTGCACGACGGGGCCCAGGATCTCGTTGTTGAGCTCGCGCCGCAC